AATTGGCACAGATATACAAGCGAATAAGTGTTCCTGGTTGGCGGTGCAGTGTATGGAGCGAGCAAGTCCTGAACAGAGAGCTATCATGGAGCAGTGCTACGGCCAATATGGTAAGTGTTTGAATTTAAGTACATGTATGCATTTTATATTCGGAATTGATTTTTACAACACTATTCAATTAAAAAAATTTGGTTTTCATACATATTGACTCACACATGCATAAGTTAACATACAATATGTAATCACATTTTGTCATTTCAGATCCCCAGAAAATTGCGAGAGTCAGGCAAGTCTATACGGAGTTAAACCTACCAAACACCTATGCCAAATACGAGGAAGAAACATATAATAGGATCAAAACACTTATTCACAAAGAATCGGATGGTTTACCGCGTGAAGCTTTATTAGAAATACTGAATACACTTTTTGAAAAAAATATCAAATAAAAATAAAATAATTTTAGGTGTCTTTGAACTTTGTGTGGCAAGCGTCTGTGGAGTTAGCGTTAACCAAACATTTAGTAACCGGCCCTTATTCCCGCTTTCGTATTAACTTTGTTAGCACAAATTCTTAGTACAGTATTTATATGTGCGGACATATATGTGTATATGTGATGATTTGAAGTTTATCAGAACTAATAAAACTTGGCTCTAAAATTATCTAGGTTCACCTAAAATTTAATTCTAAATTAGGACTGCCATAATTCTGAACCATCGACCAGGACGCTTATTCCCTATAAATACAGTTTCGTTGGTACTGGCGTTATTTTGAAGTGTTTTCTGATATTATAAACAGTATAGTTTTGTGGCACAATCCGTAGAGCCGAATGATTGATTATGATGAAACGCTCAAATTTAGATTTTTTTCAATCATAAAAAAAATAAAACTTCTATTGACGGTGACGTAACTTGCAAAAATGTTTGGCGCTTTTAACGTGGTCTTGAATACTTTCTTACTACCATTAGAAAATTTCTACATGTCCTACAACGCGCTTCATGATCATTTTGTTTATATTATTTAGCATTGCAAATAGAATTCAATAAGCATTTTAAGTCTCAATAAAACATATTTGATCTGAACCGTAAATATTTAAGTTCCTTAAAGAATTATGATTTTTATGAACTTACAACAGCTTTAAACGAACTTCTTCAAAAGGCCTTCTGAAGTACGTCCTATAAAAGTATCTTTGAAAGCTCTTCTTTGAGCAGTGAAAGCCCTTCAATTTATGCCACTCCGTACCAAAAGGAAGGAAAAAGGAATTCGTTTCAGAAAGTCCTTTTGGTAGAGATTTTAACCCCTGAAATTATCTACTGCGTAGTATGTGTGACCCCTCAGCCGTGTATCTGTTCAGGAACTTGCACTTTTACGGCATTCCCCTGATGATACAAAATTAGATTTTAACCAAAGAAACTAAACAGAAAGAAGATAAACTCACCAGATATGTACATGTTAGAAAAAAATTTTCATTATCGATTTTAGACTACTAATGCTTTTTTTTCAAAGAAAAAAAAATTGATAGGTGTCTGCATTGACCATCATTAAAAAGCTATGACAATTTAGGTGTGAACTAGGGCACCAGTACAATTTGTTTAAATCAGGACAAGTCCTGGAAAACCAGGACATCTGGCAGCCCTATTATAAATGGAAGGATAATGATTTAATATGATTATGAATCGTTCTCTACTGAAATGCAAGCTGGCATCGCTGCATTGCAATTCGGTTGTGCTCAGCGAGCAAGCTGGGGCGTGGATTTTATATTAAAGCGGGCGGTGTTATAAATTCATACCGCAGTTACACTTTGTCTTTCGCGCATTTCACATGCTACGTGATTCTAATTCCAATTAACAAAAAAA